TTTTTTTGGTTGGTCGTGGGGCTTGAACTCTGGGCGTGGGCACTGTCCCTGAGCTCTTCAGCTCAAGGCTAGCGCTCTACCACTTGAGCCACACACTACTTCTGGTTTTCTGTTGGCTTATTGGAGTTAAGAGTCTCACAGACTTTCTTGCCTGCGCTGGCTTTGAACTGCTATTTTCAGATCTCAGCCTCCTAAGTAGCTAGGATTACAGGCATGAGCCACCTGCACAAGGCTATGACCTCTTTTTCTTAGTCTCTTTTCCAGATAAGAGTTTGATTTCCCTTTTTTTTTTGGTTGTGGAGCCTGAACTCTGGGCCTGGGAGCTGTCCCTCAGCTCTTCAGCTCAAGGCTAGCACTCTACCATTTGAGCCACAGCACCACTTCCGGCTTTTTTCTTTTTGCTTATGTGGTGCTGAGGAATCGAACCCAAGGCCTCATGCATGCAAGGCAAGCGCTCTACCATTGAGCCACCTTCCCAGCCCATCCGTGAGACTCTTATCTCCAGTTAACCACCAAAAAACTGGAAGTGGCACTGTAGCTCCACTGGAAGAGCTCAGGGACAGTGCCTAGGCCCAGAGTTCAAACCCCACAACTGACCCCAAAAAAAAAAAAGTTGTTTCATGGAAAAAAAGTTTGAAAGCTTGGTAGGAACAGAGGCACTAGAAATTAAAGGGAGCAATGAAATGAGGTTATCCAATCAAATCTCTTTATACTACAGAAATTTCTTATATAGTAACTGGCAGGTGTTTGCCCAGATTTATGTGTCAAAATACTAACAAATGTAGGGAACTCACTACCTCAAAGTACTACAATTCTGAAGAGCTGTTTTGAGTAGTCAGTTCAGGAAATGATGTTGATTGCTCACTGTACATTAGACATTATCTGCTTTTGAAATGTGTCTGCTCTTCAGCCAGGGTTTGCTTAAAATCACAGCTTGCCACATGCCAGTCATAGTCTTCTGTCTTTTTAATTGGCTCATTTAGTTGTAATCATTGAAGATTCAAGTGCTTTTGGGTTTCCAGCTAGGTGTTCTTTGCTGTGCTACATAGCTTTTTATCAGTTCTCACAGGGAGATATGTTTCTCAGGACTAGCCACTCCCTTCACATACATAGAATAGCCCTTTGATTACTGATTTGTTTCAGTGGTTCCTTGATGTCAAGTAGAGGTGGTCTAGATAGGAGAGTTTACAGCATTCTGATATCAAAAAAAGTAATTCCTTACTTAATATCAAGGGACCTGCTAATGTGTGACTTCAAGAATATGTTAATAAGAACAGTGTATTTATATTGCTTTGTGTTATATTTTCCCTCAGATTTTCAAGAAGGTTTTAATTGTAATGTCATGATTGTTGCGGCAACAAATCGGCCTGATGTGTTAGATGATGCCTTATTAAGACCTGGAAGATTAGATAAGATTATCTATATTCCCCCTCCAGACCAAAAGGTAATCACTATATCCACTCTGAGCTTTCTCAGTGCATCAGTCTGTGCTCCAAGGAGCTCCACAGACTCACACTACTTACCCGGGGCCCCTCAGAGGATCATAATCTTGATCTGCCCTTTCAGAGAAATATAAGCCTGAAAGTAAGGTAGTTAGTTGATTTCAGTGTGTGGCAGGCAGATTTAGTGCTGAGTCAATTCTACATTACTTTGTATTAACTCTATGTTAATCCTAAAGTGGTGAAAGGGACTTAAAAGGGCTTTGAAGATGATCTTGGTTTTTACCCTCATATTAAGAGACGAGATCTGAGTGTGTCAAGATTCTGCAGTGTATCCAGAGAGTAAATCCTTTATTCTCAGCGTCCAGAGCAGCTGACAGGTCTAGGGAAAGTCTTAGAGAAAACTTTTTTCTTTCTTTGGGCATTTCCAAGGCCTTAAACAAGTTTTTAATAGATTAAAGATGAATTAATTTATACTCTTATTGTGGCTGATAATATATATAATATAGTATATTTTGCCTTTTTTTTTTTTTTTTGGTAATACTGAGGTTGGAACTCAGAGCCTTGGGCTTGGTTGGCCATGCTGTACCACATGAGCCACTCCTCCAGCCCGTGTGTTTGCTTCTTAAACTGTTGACAGATCACTGCTTTTATCCAAAAGAGAGGTCTGTCTTACAGAGATATGTCTACAGTTGAATAGTTTAAAAATTATTATAAAACAAATGTTTTTCATGATGCTATTATTTTTACCATTACCATGTAGGCTGTTGATGAATTAATCTTTCTGATCCTTTTTAACAAAAGTGATTTTTTAAAAAATTATTTATGGAGCTGGGAAGGTGGCTCAGTGGTCAAGTGCTTACCTTGCATTCATGAGGCATTGGGTTCGATTCCTTAGCACCACATAAGCAGAAAAAGCCAGAAGGGGCCCTGTGGCTCAAGTGGTAGAGCATTAGCCTTGGGCTGAAGAGCTGAGAGACAGCGTCCAGGCCCAGAATTCAGGCCCCACGACCAACAATAAATAAATAAATAAATGATTTTGTATATATTTATGGCAGTACTGGGGATTGAATTTAGGTCCTTGTGGTTACTAGGAAGGTACTTTATCACTTAAGCCATGCTTCAGCCTCCACAAAAGTGGTTCTTTAATTGTTTGAATCTCAGATATATTTATATTGTCTAAAATGTTTAACATATGATTGCATGTAACAGAAGTGTTATAAAATATATTATTTTAAATTTTATTCTAGGGTAGGCTTTCTATCTTAAAAATCTGTACAAAAGCCATGCCACTCGGGCCTGATATTTCCTTAGAAAACCTGGCAGCAGAGACCTGTTTCTTCTCGGGAGCTGACCTTAGAAACCTCTGCAGAGAAGTAAGTTAATTAGTGAAGTAATCTATGGTTCAAAACATGTGTTCATATATTTAGCTATTCATTCACACACAAGAATTTACAAAGGCTTGCATGTGTCAAATGCAGTTTATTGTGAAACAAGCATCAGGCCATTTCCCTTACACAGGCCAATCTAACTGTCCATTGATAATTAAAAATATCCAACGAACGAAATTTAGGGCAATGAAAGAACATGTAGGAGGAATATCAGTTCAGACTGGGCTCATAGAATGCTTTGAGGGAGGATATTTAAGCTAAAACCAGGAAGTTAGCCACCTGAGGGAGACAAGGGGACAGTTTAAATAAGAGAATAAAATATAGAGGATTGGTGTAAACATAAAACCTCGCATTGTGGCAAGAAACAAAGAAGTAAACAGAAGGTCCTTGTAAGCTACTTGGAGATATTTAAGTTTTACTTTGAGATCAGAAGAAACATACGGCTCCCCGTTTTGTAAACTCTTATTAAATATAGAGTTCAGAAAAGTGCACAGATTTAGGGTGAAGTTTATTACCATCTGCAAAAGAACACACCCTCTCCTTTCTTCACTCTCCACACTGGAGACTAGTTTTGCCAGTTTTTGAACTGTATATATAAATGGGACTATACAGTGTATAGTAGTTTTGTATGTTTCTTTAAACTTAAGATTGAAGTTAATTGTGGCTTTAGGTGCAATTGGAGTTTATTTTCATCGCTTTATAATATTGTAGTATCTGAGTATTTTACATTCATTTATCTCGTCCTAACCTTTGGAACATTTGTTTTCTACTCTTCCAGTACTAAGAATTATGCTGCTCTGAATAGTTTTGTATATGCCTACTCATGTATGTGTGTGGTTTTACATGTTTCATACAAATATGTAACTACCAGGAGGGTTTCTGGGTGACAGAGTGTGTGTTTGACCTTTTCCTTTACGATCAATGCTGTCTAATTTCATTTTCTTAAGATCAAGATTTCTCTCATTAAAAATATACATTGACTGATAATGCAGCTTGCTTTTTTCCCCATATAAGGGTAGATTTCTAATATGAGAAAAATTACAATCTACTGAGTAGAATTTTAATTACTGACATTTAGCTTTTTTTTTTTTGGTCAGTCGTGAGGCTTGAACTTTGGGCTTGGGTACTGTCCTTGTGTTCTTCAGCTTAAGGCAAGCGCTCTATGGCTTGAGCCACAGTGCTGCTTCCGGTTTTCTTTTTTTGGGGGGGGGGGTTGGTCGTGGGGCCTGAACTCTGGGCCTGGGTGCTATCCCTCAGCTCTTCAACTCAAGGCTAGCGCTCTACCACTTGAGCTACAGTGCCACTCCTGGTTTTCTAGGTGGTTTGTTGGAGATAGGAGTTTTCACGGATTTTGCTGCTTGGGCTGGCTTTAAACCGTGATCCTCAGATCTTAGCCTCCTGCGTAGCTAGGATGATAGGCATGAGCCACCAGTGCCCAGCTAGCTCAATGTTTTTAAGGATATGAGTATTGGAATTTTATGATGTGAGACTGAGATTTTGCATTCAGATTTGAAGTATTCTCATTTTTTTCTTGAATCTAGAAATGGAGTAAATTCATGCTTTCTTATCGTGTGTCTCTCACAGGCAGCCTTGCTGGCTCTGCAAGAAAATGGACTGGAAGCAACCACAGTGAAGCAAGAACACTTTCTAAAGTCGTTCAAGTCTGTCAAACCGTCCTTGAGTCAGGAGGACTTGACTTTATATGAAAATTTATTTAAGAAAGAAGGATTGTCTAACTTGGATGATAGTTAAAATTATATCTTATTTGCTTCTTCAAATTTAACATGTAAACTTACTATCATTTGCAACTTTTAGAGTTCATATGTAAACTCTCTGTAAATAAAAAAAGGAAAGAAACCTCTACCTGAGGAGCTGAGGCTCATCTTACTTGTGAAGGATATATTAAAATACTGGGATTGGGGCTGGGAAGGTGGCTCAGTGGTAGAGCACTTGCCTTGCATCCCTGAGGCCCTAGGTTCGATTCCTCAGCACCACATAAGCAAAAAGAAAAAAGCCGGAAGTGGCGCTGTGGCTCAAGTGGTAGAGCGCTAGCCTTGAGCTGAAGAGCTGAGGGACAGTGCCCAGGCCCAGAGTTCAGGCCCCACGACTGGACCCCCCCCCAAAAAAAATGCTGGGATTTAGGAAGAAAGTGTGTATGCTATGTATGCATGTAGTGTGTGTGAGTGGGTGGGTGTGTTAGTACTGGGTCTTGAACTGAACTCAGGTCATCATGTTCTTGCTTACCTTTTTGCTCATGGCTGACATTTTACCACCTAAACCACACCTCTAGTGCAGCTTTTTTGCTGGTTAATTGAAGGTAGTATCTCATAGACTTTTTGGCCGGCTTTAATTCTCTGTCCTTAGATCACAGCCTCCTCAGTAGCTAGAATTACAGACATGAGCCACTAGGGTCCTGCTATTTGTGTTGTTTTATAAGGGTAACTACTTTTAATAGATTGATTTTGCTTGTAATTATAATTTCGCACTTAGAGAAAAGTTGCTGGTATCAGCTCAAAAATAGATAGTTCTGGGCCGGGCTCATCTCATGCCTGTAATCCTAGCTACTCAGGAGGTTGAGATCTGGGGATTGAGGTTCAAAGCCAGCCTGGGCAGGAAAGTCCGTGAGACTTTTATTTCCAATAAACCACCAGAAAACCAGAAGTGGCACTGTGGCTCAAGTGGTAGAGTGCTTGCCTTGAACTGAAGACAGAGTTCAGGGTCAGCATCCAAGCCCAGAGTTCAAGCCCCATGACAGACAAGAAATCAAAAACAAACATAGTTCTCCAGTCTTTTCTTGAGCTTAAAGTTGAGTATTGACCAAGTATTGACCACTTGTTTTATGGACAATTGACTTCTGGATTTGTGTTTGTCTATGGTTTTGTCATGATAGGTTTAGGTTATGTCAGCAGTGGAACACTCCTGAGTGGTCTGTGTCCTCAATATCACAGCCAGAGGTAAGTGTTACCTGCACATAATTGATGATGTTAATTTGATCACTTGTTTATGGTACTGTCTGGTTTGCCTATACAATCCTTTTGTAATTATAAATAATGCCTTTTTTGGGTCAGTCGTGGGTCTTGAACTCTAGGCCTGGGTGCTGTCCCTCAACTCTTCAGCTCAAGGCTAGTGCTCTAACACTTGAGCCACAGCACCACTTCTAGTTTTCTGGTGGTTAATTGGAGATAAGAGTCTCACGGACTTTCCTGCCTGGGCTAGCTTTGAACTGTGATCCTCAGATCTCAGCCTCCTGAGTAGCTAAGATTATAGGCGTGAGCCACCAGTGCCTGGCTTAATTATAAATAATTTCTAAGGGGTAGATTATATGTACATTATTATTTTCCCTATTATCAAATAATTAAGAATACTAGAAAATGGAGGGAAATGTGAAGAAAAACCTTTGGAATTTAATTTTCCAGTTCTTTTTGTATATGTAGTTGATTTTTTTTTAACCCAAAGGAAATAATACCAGATAACTTATACTTGTTTTTCTCACCAAACAATGTCTTGTTGAGCCATTCTTCACTTGCAAGGTATTGGGATGTACAGTGAACAAGACAGACATGACACTGACAGACCAACTGGGAACACAGATCAGACAAAATTATTCAATGAATTAATGATAATGGTGAGATAATTAATGATTAATGATAATGGTGCTTGGGACGTACAGAGTATGACCGCAGTACTAGGAGTACGTGAAATCATACATGTCTAGCAGTTGTCAGAAAGTTTTCTGACTGGAAACCTGGATGTTGGGAATAATTAAGGGAAAGACTTGAAAAATTTGTACATATAGAATTTAGTCAGAATTTTGTTATTTAGTTAATTGACCATTTGAGTAACAGGAAAGCCTTAATGATTTACCAGCTTTCTGATTATCCATGTTCCTTATTGGTTATTGGTCTGATATTACAAGGCAGCCATTAAACTTTGCTGTACTAGACCAGATTGAACTTTGTCTGAACACCTTGACTCAGACATCTAACTGTGGGCCTTTCCTTGAAAAAGTTTGTAAGTGGTCAAGTTGGAAATTTATTATTCACATTTGTTCAAAGTTGAGTTCATTTGAAAATGTCTTTTTATACCAGCACAACTATGTTTATTGCAGCATTATTTACCATAGCTAAGATATGGAACCAACCCAGATGCCTCCATCAGAAAGAATGACATTGCCCCATTTGTTAGGAAATGGAAAGACTTGGAACAAATTATATTAAGTGAAGTAAGCCAGGCCTAAAGAAACATAGGTCTCATGGTTTCCCTTGTTTGCAATATCTAGCATATGTCTGAGACAAGCAGAAAAGGTCAGATAAATTGATGTTAGTTGAAATGAACCCCAAGATAAGTATTCAAATGTTTTTTCTTTCATGCGATTGTTTCTGACATATTTATAAGATGATTTCTTTGTTGCCTTGTATGTCCCTACCCCACAGTATAACCCCTGCTTTCACTGTATTTGATGTTGGTACAATTTGTGGAGGGGAAGGGAAAAAACAAATCATTTAAATAGGGAAATAGGCAGACCCATTGCAACAATGAGATGTACAAATTGTTATGTCAAAAATGAACTTTACAACTTTGGGGGGGAAGGGATGGGAAGGGGAAACAAAGGAGGAGGCAACAATGCTTGATAAGAAAGGTACTCATTATCTTGCCCATGTAATTGTAACCCCTCTGGTATTTTTACAATAAAAATTTTAAAATAAAAATGTCTTTTTAAATTGTAATTATATTACAATGAAAACAGTGTAGTATACTTTATAATTATGTAGTATAAACTCATCATTATATTAATTTTAATTGTAATTCTGTCTTAATAGAATTTTAGAGTCTACCTGAAGACAGACCATTTTTCTCCTCACTGAAATGCCCAATAAATAGCAAAAGCCAATCAAGAATTTCTGGATTCAGTTGTAATCAGATTTGAGGACAGCTCAGATAACTTCCCAAAATAATGCTTTTTTCCTTTTTGAGAATTTTTTATTGTTACTATAAAGGTCATGTACAAAGGGGTTACAGTTACATAAGTAAAGAGTAGATTTCTTTTTGGACAGTGTCACCCCTCCCTCTCCCAATTTTCCCTTCTCATCCCCACTCACAAGTAGAATAGTACATTTTCATCGTAGTGTCTAATGAGTACCATTGTTGCGTTTGTTAACCCTTTACTCCTCCATTTCTGCATCCCCCTTTACACACCCAAAGACAGATAAATGAACAAATAAGTAGAAAAAACAAAAACAGCAACAAATAAAAAACCTCTTGTTTCCATTTCTTGGAGTTCATTTCAATGAATATTATTTTGTATGATCAGATGCACCATCATTGCACCTTTGTATGCCTCTCCTAAGAGTATCTTCCTTTGTTCTCACTGTGTGAATGCCTAGAATTCTGTATAATTTATCATGTCCTAGTGTATTTTAGATCTAAGTTCCACATATGAGAGAAAACATGGCGTTTGTGTATCTGAGCTTGGCTCAACCTCACTTAACATGATTTGGCCAAACTAATTCTAATTCTTGAGCTATGAGAAAAAAATTAACACAATCTTTTCATCGTGTTTTTTTTGGGGGGGTGGAGGGCTGGGGCCTGACTTCAGGACCTGGGCACTGCCCCTGAGCTTTTTTGTCTAAGGCTAGCCCTCTGCCACTTGAGTCACAGCTCTACTTCTGGCTTTTGGGTGGTTTGTTAGAGATAGGAATCTCATAGACTTTTCCTGCCTGATCTAGCTTCAGATCCCCACCCTCATGTCTTAACCTTCTAAGTAGCTAGGATCATAGATGTGAGCCATTGATGCCTGGCAACATTGCATCTTTGAAAGCAACTTAGGATAAACTGAGCAGTGTGCCGCTCTCGCTATATACTGCTCAAACTGCTCTTTGTGCCACATCAACAGTCAACCTTATTTTTTTTTTTTTTTGTCGGTCGTGGGGCTTGAACTCTGGGCCTGGGCGCTGTCCCTCAACTCTTCAGCTCAAGGCTAGCACTCTACCACTTGAGCCACAGCACCACTTCCAGCTTTTTGTGTTTATGTGGTACTGAGAAATCAAACCCAGGGCTTCATGCATGCTAGGCAAGCACTCTACCACTGGGCCACCTTCCCAGCCCCTCCATGAGCCTCTTAACTGCAATTGACCAGCAAGAAGCCAAAAGTGGTAGAGTGCCAGCCTTGACAAAAGCTTAGCAAACTCCTCTGTGCTTCTCATTTATAATAACAATTTTAAAAATTAATTGAAAAACAAACAAGCAGGCCCTAAGCTCACGTACTCATACACTCTCATCCTCCCCCCTCATCCTCCATCCCCCCCTCCCTCCCCCGCCCCACCCCTGTGTCTCTCTTCCTTGATTTTGTGACTTAGAACATTTGGCCTGTATTGAGCAATTGCAAGGAGGAAATTCTGTTAAGAGGCTACTGCATGCCGGACCCTGTGCTAGGAACATTGTATATCTACTCACAAGGAGCAAAGATACTTTGGAATTTACAGGTCACATGCTACCTTGGCAGATTAAAAAAAAAATCTGGATATGTTCATGAAAGTAGCACTGATGGGCTGGGATCTAGAGCTCAGTAAATGCTTGACTAGCAAATGCAACATCCTGGGTCTGTTTCCCATAACCAACAAAGAAAAGACAAAAAGTTAAACCCAAGCAAACAAGTGGAACTGACTGACATGTGTGGCCATCCTCTATGATAATACTAAAGGATTTGGGGGAATGGAGCACTAGAACTCAGTCTAGGTGAGTATTTTATGCATGCATTAGAGGGGAAAGAGGTGTTGTATGATTGAAACACTGGTGATGCTTTAACTAAAAGAAGTATAGGAAAATCCCAAAAGGGGAGGTGAGGATGAAGGACCATGCTTCACCGTTTCTATTTCCTTTCTTATTTTTTATTTTTAAAGCTTATAACGATCAACCAACAATGGAAGCCTGTTGAAGAGCTGCAGAAGGTCAGAAGGGCAACCAGATGACCAGTCCTCTCTTCTTTCCTCCAAAGATTACTCTATGAATCTAGTGGAAACATTTCTGCACAAACTATATTGTGGAGACCAGTGTGCGGAAATGCTTCTGCTACATTTTTAGGGTTTGCCTACGTTTTTTGGGGGGGTACTCTGGATAAAGGAATTAAAGGTAGTGCCGTAATAACTACATAGTCCAAAAGTTTCTGTTTATTGTTGTAACTCTGAATTTTATATGAAGAAAACCTACCTTTATGAATGTGCTCCTTGACATGTATAAAGATTTGTAAATTAGTAATAAAATTTCGCTTGTGTAAGATATCTCAACAGTTAACTATCTTTTTAAGTGGAGGACAAATTTTTTTAATATGGGATAAAAGACATTTTGAAGCATAAAACTTCATCTTCTAAATAATAGCCCGTGCAAATTCTGTGTAAGTTTATTCTTCCAAGTTTACTTATTCCTCAGAAATTGCCTGAGCATCTACAGTAAAGCAGTGAGTGAAGACACATTTGGGAGAGGTGTGAATAAGAGAGATGGTAAGTACCCTCAGGAAAGTGAAGTGGAGATGGGTGTGAGCTTCCAGGTAGATTGTCCTTGGAGGCAGTTGTTGAGGTTTTGGGGGTCAACAGGGATTCAGGATGTTGATGAGATCAGCCCTACCGATGCTACTGCAGACTACGGCTCTCCTGTGAGAACAGGGGGAAGAGCTTGGCCAGCATCCTGTGGAGTCTGGGCCATCCTTCATTCTGGCCCATGGTGACATGGAAACTAAAGGCATAATCATACCCTGTGTGGCCCTGGACTCCTTTGACTAACCTTAAAAAGTGGGATCAAGCCAGGTACCCATGGCTCCCATTTATTTATTATCCTAGCTACTATGGAGGCTAAGATCTGAGAACTAAGCTTGGAAGCCAGCCCATGCAGATAAATTCTCAAGACTCTTTATCTCCAAATAACCAGTACAAAGCTGGAAGCAGAAATGGAATGTGGCTCAAATGGTACAAGTAGAAACTTGCTTTTTTCATAACTTCTTAAAATTGAGACAGAATTCCATTTAAGCTGCATAATTCAATAGTTTTATTATATTCACAAAGCTGTGTAATCCTATCTGCCATCTAGTTCAAAAACATTTTCATCTCCCGTCCTACAAAGAACCCTTTAACCAAAACTTTTCCTCACTTCTCTGCTTCCAGACCAAAGCAAACACGAAAAATGAACTTTTTCTCTAGGATTCATCTATTCTGGATATCTCATAAAAGTGGGATCTCTCTTCAAATAATGTTTTCAAGTGATATTCATACAGTACCACAATATCAACATTTCATCCTTTTGTTTTTGTCGGTTGTAGGGCTGGAACGGAGGGCATGGGTGCTGTTCCAGAGCTATTTTGCTCGTCTAGTGCTATCCTAATGTTGAGTCACAGCGCCACGTAAGTTCTTCTGGTGGTTAATTGTAGATAAGAGAGTCTCACAGACTTTCCTTCCTTGACTGGCTTTGAACTGAGATCCTTAGATCTCAGCCTCCTGAGTAGCTAGGATTTTTACAGGCATGAGTGACTAGTACCCAGCATTCATCCCTTTGTGTAAGGAAGAAGATTCCATTGTATAGATAAAGCACCTATTGTTTATCTGTTTGTAAATTAATGGACACCTGATAGGCCTCTAGTTTGGGACAATGATGAGGAGTGATAGTATGAATGGTTATGAACAGATTTTTGTGTGGTCATGTATTCTCAACTTCTCTTGATTATGTACCTCACTTCATTAACTTCTTTAGAGTAGAATGGTAAATGGTTTCTTCACTTGTATGAATGTAATGGAAAGCTAAAAGAAGGGCAATAAAAGATAACTGGCACTTGCCAGAGACTTGGCAATTGTGAAAGGATTAGAGTAAGACCATTTCTCCCAACCTTTGTTGCTTCCTTATTATCTCACATTTTTCCCAGAGGAAAATCTCTGGCAGTTGAGTTGCTGGGATTACCTGTAGCAACTGGGAAGCACATTTTTATTTGCTTAAACTTTTAAGCCGAATGTAATGTCATTTAGGTAATTAGCAACGAACAGTTTCATGCTGGTTGGCCAATTTAGGAGAGAAATCTGTGAAATGATTTTGAAGGACGACTGTGATTTCATCCTTAAAATACAAACCTGGTGGGCAAGCAGTGACTATGGTGTGAACTATGTTGTCGTTACTAGTAGAAAGGTACTAGTTAGCAAGTGTAGGAGGAAGAGAGTTCCAAGAGCAAGTCTTACACTGCAGGTGTAGGAAAGGGGGTGACCAATTTCCAGCCATTGTTAAGGAGCCACACCCTAGAACAAAAGGTGGGCTAACAAGAAGTCCCAACAAATGTATTTGGTCATAGTTTTAAGCAACCAGGAAAACTTCATGGAAATACCAAAGATCCAGGCAAAGCTATTGTTTTTTGTTGGTGGTGGTGATAGGGCTTGAATTCAGGGTCTGGGCTCTGTTCCCTGAGCTTGTGTGCTTAAGGTTAGCACTTTCTCCTTTGAACTACAGCTTAATTTCTGGTTTTAGGGTGGTTATTTGGATTTAGGAATCTCACAGGTAGCTCAGTGGTAGAGTGCTTGCCTTGCATACATGAGGTCCTGGGTTCTATTCCTCAGTAAGCAGAAAAACCCACAAGTGGCACTGTGGCTCAAGTGGTAGAGTGCTAGCCTTCAGCTGAAGAGCTGAGGGACAGTGCCCAGGCCCAGAGTTCATGCCCCATGACAGACAAAAAAAAAAAAATCAGGCTTTCCTGCCCAGGCTGGCTTTGAACCGCGATCCTCAGATCTCAGCCTACTGAGTAGCTAGGATTACAGGTATGTGCCACCAGTGCCCAGTGCTATCTGTTCTTCTATTCAGGTTCATGAAGCATGATAATTGTTTACAAATATATCAGACAAAAGGGGAAGGTATGAGCTAATGCTCACAGACTGAGGGGAAAACCCATCAAGTTCTATCAGTCTGTCAGTATTATTCTTGACCTGTCTGTGCAGCATTCTTTCCTCCTAGGTATGGGGCAAGCTGCTTTCTGGAATGAGGATATCTTTTTGCTCTCATGCTCTGCTTGTGTATGTGTGTGTGTGGGGGGGGGTACTGGGCACTGAACCCAGGGCCTGGCACTGACTAGGAAAGCACTTTACCAATCGAGCCATGACCCAGCCCTTTAATTTGTATTTTGCTTTTGAAATAGGAGCTTGCTAACTTTGCCCAGGCTGGGCTTAAACTCATAATCTTGCTACCTTCACTTCCTGAGTAACTAGGGATTGTGGGTGTATAACACCATGCCCTCCTCTGGAATGGGGATCTTCTGATCTAGGTAGGTCAGAGAATTTCTTTATGGCCAGCTCTCATGCAGAAAGGTGGAGGAAAGTTCAAGATAATATTTTAGGGTTGGGATTTTTTTTAAAAAAATAGCTAGCTTTGGTAGAAGTGGCTCTGTTTTCTATAGCCTGCCTTATGGGGGAAGAAGAAGGAGAAGGAGGAGGAGGAGAAGGAGAAGAAAGAATTTTAGTTTTTATGGCTTTCCTCTGGGGAAAATGAAGAGTAAGATACAGAAAGCTGGAGAAAGTGAAAGAGAAAATTTGCCTCCAGAGGCTTACCTTTAGGGTACCAACCCTCTGAGCCCCAACAATGATGCCAGAAAATTTGATTTTTAAAATTTGAATTTTAAAATTCCTCCAATGTTTTAAAATTTCAAGTTCTGCCAAGAAATTGAAAAGTCAGCACAAAGAGTACTTACGCTCTTTTAGCAATGGACATTCTGCCACATTCCCCGTGTCTCTATGTAAATTTTGTTCATTTATAAGTGAATTCTTTGAAACTAAATTACAATCCTAAATCTTTTCTCTTAAAAACTTAAAGGATGTATTCACTGCTTGAGGGACAGGACATTCTAACTGCCTATGGTGCCACCACCATATTCCTAAGAAAATTAACATTAACTTAATGGTATCACCTGTTATATAAACCATTCTAATTCTCTCAAGATTATTATGTATACATGTACATGTATACATGTATGTCTATTTGTATAGATATATGTATGTATGTTTATGATCTTCCTGCCTCAACCTCTCACGTGCTGCTGGGATTATAGTTATGTACCATCAGGCCAAATACTAGATACAATTTTTATTTTTGGTCGTGGGACTTGAACTAGCTACATTTTTTTTTTTTTGTCAGTCATGGGGCTTGAACTCTGGGCCTGGGTACTGTCCCTCAGCTATTTAGCTCAAGGTGAGTGCTCTACCACTTGAGCTACTTCTGGTTTTCTAGTGGTTTACTGGAGATAGGAGTCTCCTGGTCTTTCCTGCCCAGGCTGGCTTTGAACCGCGATCCTCAGATTTCAGCCTCCTGAATAGCTAAGATTACAGGCGTGAGCCACCAGCGCCCAACTAAACTAGCTACAATTTTAAGAACAGAATTCAATCAAGTTTCACTTATTGAAATTGGTTGTTAGGTTTGTACCGAGCCTTTGTAGAACTCCAGTGCACAGGCGACTAGAATGATCCAGGTAAGATTCATTCACATGTGGACTTTTATAAAAATCTGACCTATGATTTAAATGTAATTTAAATATTTGAGAGTCATACATTATTTAGTCTCACTCTGTATTAGACGTTGTGCCGGCCTCAGGGTCTGACATTCTAGGAAAAGGAGACACTCCTGTGAGCAGATCCAAACAGGACAATGGAAGCAAGGACAGACAGCACCAAGCAAAGTGTTCCAAAGAAGGCAGATCACAAAAGATTCAACAGACTCATTTCTTGATGCGTGGCCATTAGAAACACGGCGACTGCAATAGAGTCAAATCTTTACTGAGGCAGAGAGCCCTAAAACAGCACAATGCCTGTTTTGGAGCTTTAGGGGAGTTTACTACGTGGGCATTTTGCTATTGAAGTGTGAAGTAGGAGAGTGGGCTGAGGTAGAATGTGTGCTGTTTTTCTAATACTACAAAGGAGCCCCGAGCAGGGTTTTCAACTGAAGAAGGAGAGTTTCATCTTCCTAATGGAGACTTGTCTATAATAGCAAGCGCAGGTAGTGGATGGATACTGACAGGGACTCTTGGTTGGACACAGAGACCAGTGGCTGACAGTGATCCAGTGGGCAGGCAGTGGATAGCCAGGACAAACGCTCGCAGTGGCAGAGGGCATGAGAGAACAGAGTGAGTGAGAAAAAGTGAAGACCTCAAGGCAGGAGATTCTCACCTGGGTAGTGAAGATAGGAAGACAAGGGGGGGCGGGGGAGAAAGAATGGGAGAAGACAATGCATGAGGTCCAGGAGCCTTCTAGAATGCTCCACATGGCTGGTT